GGGGGGGGGGGGGGGGGGAGGAGAGGACGGTGGAATAGCGGCATGGCCAGGCCCAACCCAGAGAGAGGCTAGGGCTGAAGCTGGCCCTGGCCACCGAGGTGGCTCCCACAACCAGCCGGGCTTTTTCCTTTGAAAAGGTGGTCAGACTGGTAAACTAGCAGCTGAGCTGGGTGAGGCTCCTGCTCCCTCCTGAGGTAGCTTTTCCTCCCAAAACTCAATAAATAGCAGACGAGGTGTGCTAGAACCAACAAGCTCTATTACTGTTCCAGGATTTTTTTAAACCCTAAAGTTATTTTTGATCACAAAAAGGGAAGAACGGCGTTTTGAGGAGCCTGGAGTGAGAAAAGAAGGTGCTCATCATCCGACTGTGCTGGCGGCTGGTTAGAGCTTGTAGCTGACCCATTCCCCAGAGCTGCTGTGGGCTAGTATTGGATGGCTAACACCAAGGTGGATGTCAAATCCACCAGGTGGTCCACGGGAGAAAAAAGAGGCTATGGGCTCTCATTGAAACAAAAGCATTCTACAGGGGACGTCATGAGTCTGTCACCTTGCCATTGTCATTAGACAGACCATGGGAGGAGGGGTCTCTCTCTCATCCTCACCTGGCAGAGGGGAGACGGTTAGACCCAGCACCTGACTTGCCCCATGTGACTGAGAGCTGAGCGCCCTCCCCAGAGGAGGCACTCGGGGAAGCACATTGTGCCTGACTGCCTCACTGTGGCAAGACACTGGTGCACAAAGGAGGCTGGGCATGAAGATGCAGCGGGGGCACCCTCTGCTGGTCTGCTTTAGAACAACGGTCTGAAAGGCCTCTCCAGTAGACCCTAGTGGCTCAAAGGAGAATCCATACCCCATGACTCCATAGGGAACTTGGGACAAGATAACCATCTTTCGAGAGATAGATACGCGTATGTCAAGACAACGATGCACACACAGGAGGCAGCACGCAGGGCAAAATCCAGCAGCTGCTGCTCAGAAGGTGACACAGGCCTGGCAGGTGCTTTTCCTCTATTTGCTGTTGAGTCCGTTTCCCTTTCCCCTAGAGGACACCCTAACTCCTTGTATCTGCTCCCACAAAGACCCTGGGGGGGGTGGGGGTGGAGAAGGAGAGGAACTGTCCTCGTCGCTCTGGGAAGGGAGGTTGTACCAGATGCAACACTGTCTCATAGCCCAGCGCCTCACTGCTGGCCCCACGGACCCCACATTCCCTGCTCCCACTTCTGCCTATTGGCCCTCCATCAGAAAGGAGAATCCACCAGATTGCTATGCTTCTGGGGGCACCAGTTCCTAAGGGCAGTCCTGAGAACAAGGTCTGGTCCCAGGAAACAGGTCAAGAAACAGATGTACCCTGCCAGCTATCAGGGAGCACAGTCCACCTGGCTGTGCCGGCTCCGACCTTGCGCCCTCTGAGAACCAACACTCAACTCGATGTCTGCTAGGCACTGCAGCAGTGGGGCCACTGCCTACTGCCCACCCTGCATGGTGAGCCAGCTCTCTTGCCCAGCGACTCTAGCCCTCAAGTCTCTGAGAGCCAAGCAGTCTCTCTCCACCCCTGGGCCTCAGGCCACCAGGCCACCCCTGTCTAGCCTGCATCCTGGTTGGGCCAGCCCCTCGACCTGCTTTGTTGCCAACAGGCCCGTCCCTACATCAGACCCCATGGGTGTAGCACAGCCATGAGTGTAGACATGGGTGTAGATAGACCTGGGGTCCTCAAACTTTTTAAACAGGGGGCCAGTTCACTGTCCCTGAGACCCGTTGGAGGGCTGAACTATAGTTTTTAAAAGTCCTATGAACAAATTCCTATGCACACTGCACATACCATATTTTGAAGTAAAAAACCGAAAGGGGGAAAAACACCCGGCGGGCCGGATAAATGTCCTAAGCAGGCCGCATGCGGCCCACGGGCCATAGTTTGAGGACCCCTGGTGTAGACTGTCACAATCCAGCTCAAGAGTAATGCTTCATCTGCCGTTCTCTGTGGGGTTGTTGGGCCTGTTTACTGACCCCTGCTGTTCTCTGTGGGGTTGTTGGGCCTGTTTACTGACCCCTAGACACCATTCCCCGCCCTTCTGCCAGTCTCTCAAAGCGCCAACACAGGTGACAAGACAGTCTTTCCTGGCAGGTAGGTGTTCTGTGTAGACACGGGCCTGTCCCACGCCCAGCTCCAGAGCTCGGTCAGGGAGCGAGCTGTGACAGGGAGCGGATGGCAGCTCGTCCTGCCCAGCCCAAGTCGGAGCCGCTCCACACTCTCCCAGGGGGCTGTCAGCGCTACTTTCCCACGGCCCTGCATCACTCGATGCTGGGCGTGAAAGGCCACACATACCCCACCGCGCCCCGCCCTCCGCGCCCCACGCATTGCCGGTGCTCACCTAGTAGACTGGGATCGGCTCGGACCATCTTCTGCTTTTTCTTCTTTTTGCCACTTTGTACAGCCTCGAAGTTGGACTGCTGGTTGTTGCTTTGATTGGTCTGAAACACTGAGTGGAGTGTACTGTGGTTCATCCCCCACATGGAGTCCTGTCAGACAGGATGACGCAGAGGAGGTTACACAGGTGGGCCCTCTCACCAGCCCCTCCACACCCCACACTCTTGCGTTACCAAGTGTGGCTTTCAGAGACAAAAAGCCTAGCATGGCTCCAGAAATGATTAACCCACCACTCTCGCTCATGTGCTCAGCACATGGCTTGCCTGGTGGGCCTCAGGACCTCCTCAGTGCAGGTGACGCCCACCCTGTTTGCGAGGAGTCTAGACCCAGGGCCAGCGGTTGGGACAAACTCTGAACTCTGACCACCTTTCAGGCCCTCGGGACCTGGGACAGGCTGCAGACCACCCTACAAGATGCTACCAAACGAGACTCATGTCTGTGTCCAACTCTAATGCCAATCCCAGGAGGGAGCGGGGACCAAATGTCAACACACACACACACACACACACACACACACACACACACCTCTGCCTCTCAGGGAGCAGCGCAATAAGCAAGCTGCACAATTTCGTGCCAGCCACAGCAGAAGCCTTTCCTTTGAAAGTGGAATTGGCTTCAAGGAGGCAGAGGTGGTACTATGGGGAGGGGAGGTGGAGGGGAGAAGTGTCTGCTCAGGTCTCCAGGCACTATGGCAGCACTGGGCACATCCAACACCCTGATGGCCTCAGGCCAGGACAGCCCCTCTGCCCCAGAGGGTGGAACACCTTGAACTGGGCTGTGATCTTACACAGCCTCAGAAGCACCTATCGAGAGTTGTGGAGATTTCTAACCAAGAAATTACGAGATCGAGGATAAGGATTGGTCAGCTTCTCCAAAAGCTTGGTCAGCTTCCTTGTCTGAGCCCATGCCCCTTCACCCCGCCAGCCCCGCTGCGTGGGACCCAGCTGCAGGAGAGCCTGTGGATGGGCTGGGCACGGTGGGACCAACAGGAGTCACAAGGACAGGCTGCCAAGCCCAGTGAAGGAGGGGAGGAAACCCACAAGGGTCTCCACACGTCATGCCAAACTACCAGAAGGCTGGGTGATGACAGCACCATCGGCATTTCCCTCAGCCGACCCTCGCACCTGCTGCTGCTGCTGCTGCTGCTGCTGCTGCCGCTGTTGGCTGGCTTTCTGCTTGGCACGGCGCTCGAGGAACTGCTTGGCAAACTCCTTGGCCTCTGACGTGTCTCCTAAGTAGGCCCTGATGTAATCATGGACTTCATATGGAGACTCGACTTCTTTCAGGAAAGACACAAACGTGGGGACTGCAACAGGGAGGGGAGGGGAGAGACAGGGACAGTTTCAGGGAGCCTGGGGACATTCCGCTGAACGGATGGCTGTGCCTGTGCTTACTGCAGACGGTGCCAATCCCTCAGGAATCTAAGTGCACCTCAGTCTACAGACAAAAACCACGGACGGCAACCAATGCCACGCCTCACGTCACAGGGAGGGATGCCACAGGGTAGACGCAGAGGCAGGCACATGGGCCAATGCTGACTAAAACGGGCTTGGCCGGGGACTGAAGCGTGACCTGGGGATTCACAATTTCACCCCTTTGATAGTAGCGAGCATCGGTTCCGTGCTTAAAGCTATAGCCGTCTCTGCCTGAGCTGATTTTCAGAGAGAAATCAAATGGGACAAACAGCGGAGTTGTGCGAAAGAAAAGCAGTGTCAGGCAGGGGTCAAAAACCTGACTCTGAAATTTGCTGGCTGTGTGACCTCGATGGGTTACTTAACCATTCTGAGCCTCTGTTTCCTGTTTATAACATGGAGAAAATATCACCCCTACTGTACAAGTGCCTGATACAATCACTGCAAAAAGATAGGAAAGGGGTCACGTGTGCTAACCCCTAGAAGTGCCCAGCACACGGTAGGTGCTCACGTCACAGACAGTTAGCTGGTCTGTCCTAATGCTGCAAAGGACCCTTCCCGACACAAATTGCTCTGGTTGTAGCTGCTCCTTGGTTTCAGGCAAGCGCCCCTGGTAGTGCAGACAGCTAGCATGCCCAGCTGCTGACCGCAAGGGTGATAGTTCCAGTCCACCCTGCGGTACCTTGGAAGAAAGGCCTGGCAATCTACTCCTGAAAAAACCCAGCTCTTAAAAGCCCAGTGGACCAAAGCCCTCCTCTGACATAGAAACGTAACCTGGAGTCGGGTCAGCTCAATGGTGATGGGTGTGGTCTCAGAGAAGAACCCCTCGAGTGGCCAGCCTTGAGGCCCCTGGCCTCTCAGCTGTGTGAAGCCGTCCACAGTGTACCTGACTAGCCTGTTTCAACACCCCGAAGGGACAGGGCCCACTTCCACTGAAGGCCGGTGACTTGTGCACAGCGGACCACAAGCCAAGTATTTCTTCAAGTTGTGCTGACCCATGTGGGTCTGAGGGCCAGCCACACAGGGCTATTCACCTCCCTCAATGTGGGGAGGCAGGAAAAGCTGCCACATCACCTCGGCCTTCTCTCAGGCTGGGGAGTGTGGACTGTGGCCTCTCCTTCCTACACGTCATACATAGTAAGGCACGAGAGAGGCTCTCCTTCCCGGTGGCCCTTGGATGCCGGCTGAACCCTGACAGATAGTGCAGGACGACCTCCGCCCAGTTTTGCCTCAGGAGCTGGGCCCATGGCCCCAGCCTGCTAGCCTCGAAGGGGCCCTGCCTTTGCCACTCCACATGCTGGGTGCCCTCCCCGAGTCTTACCATCCAAGTTATTGGCCGTATTAAGGGCATGAAGCATCTGTTCACACCACTGGGTAAATCCATCCTGGGCTTTATTTACTCCCTGAAAGAGCTTCAGCAACTTCTCTTCTTCTTCTACTTTCTTATTCTGCCGGTTAGACACACCTACAGATTTACTGAAGCAAAACAACAGGGTGGCGTTACACTCCTAGAAACGGTCACTGCTGTCATTCCACCTCACCACCACAAACTGGTCGTGAGGACTTCCCAGTAAACCCAAGGAACGCTTGGCTCCAAAAGGCAAAAAACAAAACAAAACCCCTCAAATACCTGGATCTGAGAGAAAAGAATACTCAAGACCAGCTAGAAATCTGTCTCTCTCTACCACTGAGCATCACCACATCACTGCAGACTCACAGCGACGCAGGAGGGCAGGGCACAACTGCCTCGGTCAGTTTCTGAGACGGTCACTCTAAGGGGAGTCGAAAGCCCTGTCCATCTCCTGCAGAGCAGCTGGTGGTTTGGAACTGCTGACCTTGCAGTTAGCAGCCCAACGCAAAACCACTACGCAACCAGGGCTAGAAATCTCGCCTGATCTACCACAGTCTAGTTAAGGACCACGGAGCCTGTCTGCGGAGCAAACGACTGGGTCTTCCCATGTGCCCTTAAGTAAGCTGCTTTCACTCTGGCTAAGCCTCAGTTTCGTCGTCTGTAAAATGGCAGTGCGGGAGCCCTCGCGGGTGAAAGCCCCAGCGCTTGCGCCGAGACCCTCCTTGTGGCTGCACTCGAGCAGCAGCCCTCTGAAGTCAGTCAGGCACCTGGCTAGCGTCTCCACTTGGGTCCCCGTCACTTCCACAGCCGCACCTAGCCCGTCCTTACTCTGCTCCTCATTTTACAGATGGAGAAACTGAGGCTCAAAGAGGTTCCGCCTTGCCCAAGGTCACACAGCTAGTGAGTGGCAGTGCTGGGATTTGCCCTCGTGCAGCTAGTGCCAGCCCCACGCTCTCTGAACAGCACTGGGGCCGGAGGGGAGGAGCGTGGAGATGAGCTGCCACGGTCAGTCACGGGAGGGACGGGCTCCCAGGCATCATGAAAATGGACTGGGGGGAATGTCAAGACCTCGAGAACACCTTCGAGAGACACGCGAGACACGTGCAACAACAGAAATCCTCATGCTGCTACAGCTATGTCTGAGAGAGGATGCCACTTGGCACGCTGCATGAGCCTAAGAAAGACACACGGGCTCCGACAGGATCCCCGAAGATCCACCTTCCCCTGCCTGCCCCCCACCAGCGCCTACCTGAGTCCGGTGCTGTTCTTGTTCTTGTTCGACGGGTTCCTGGGTCCCACCTCCTTTACCGCATCGTCCCAGAATCCCATGTTGGAGTTCTTCGTGTCAGCATTACTCCAGATGCTACTGACCAGGTCAGATGCCCACTGGTTTGGGGGACCTGAATTTATTGAGCCCCAAACAGAATTCCCGATGCTGGTGTGCAGGTTGGAATGCTATGAAAGAAACAGACGACACTCTTTCATGCTTTCTGACCAGGTGGACAGGTTGAGAAAGCCAGGTGAGAGCCAAGCCCTTGGGATGGCTGAGGATGACGAAGGACCCACCGTGTTGTTGCGGGCTCGGTTTGGCTGCTGCTGCTGCTGCTGCTGCTGGTGCTGGTGCTGCTG